AGAATCGTATCCTTAAAGCAAAGCAAAATTTCAATTACATGTAGGGGCCTCCATGTACACTTACGCGTTCTCTCGAGCGATTACATGTACATTGTACAATGTGCATTTTAAACACTTTTGTATGATTATTTTACTTTGAAAAGCAATTCTAAGCTGAGCATCGTAAGCAATTTTTGTAAATTTTGGGAAAGATTTCCATATACGAAGTTCACTCAACACCCTGTGTACAATTACAAACCCTATGAGATTGGACTGAAAAATTCTAAGCGTTTTCTAAGAAAATGCTTGTATTTTCTCACTGCTCAAATTGACTTTGATGACATGAAATTGCTATCTGGGGGCTTGTTAGTCAATACAGAGGAAAATTAGTGAACTTCGTATATGGAAATCTTTCCAAATTTTGTTGTATTTTAAACCTTAACGTAATTAGATGGCATTTCGGCTTAATCAAAGCATTTCAAAAGGGAAGAAGATAAATGTTCATGGTGAAAACTTCTCAAATTTAAGAAAACACTATATGTACATGTATTCGGTTCGTGACGCTGAAGTTATCCCATGCTCCTCAAATTACGTTATTGTGATTTTATTGTCTGAGCCGGGAAGTTGCATTTTTTTTCAAAAATGATAAAAAGTCAATTTTTCTATGTGCAACTAAATAGCACGGGCACGTAGGCCTACTACTTTAACTTCCGAGTAGTGATTGACATCTTGAATAAGATTCGCCTTCTAGACACCTTTCACAACTTTTCTTTAAAATCATTAGTTTAAGTTCAAATCGGCGGGTTTGAAATCCCCCGCCCCACCCCCTCCCCCGAAAAAAGTATTTATAAATTCTAGAAACTCCTCTATTTGCAGTTGCACACAAATACAAAAATAACTTCTGTAGGTTAGAGTACAAAAAAAGTGAGTTGACGAAAATTCATATACATGTACATGTACGACTAAGGGTAGGTGGAGGGCCCACTTGTTGGACTGACATAACTCAATGACACGATACAAACATATCGCGCACTGCGGTGGGAGGTCAACATGGGCTTTGCATGAGTCCTCCTTAATTTTATTGCGAAATTGAATTACTGGATATAACATTTGGCCGAGACTGCTCGATGGGTTGGTTTATATTATTTAATCAAAATTGACGTGAATTTGCAACCTTACGTTTTTTTCTCGCAGGGTCGGGAAAACGCTCTCGTGATCAAACACCTTTCAAAAGTGCATAAGTTCTGAAAAACTGGTCGAGAGAGGATTTCTTTTGCATCTCAAAGAGATTTGGGTATTAAAAACATATCAGATAAAAGCAAGATTCTTAAAAATTGGAGCGCTTCAAATATACACGAAACTTAGTGGATATGTGCGCACAGATAGTCCCATACCTTTCTTATAAATGTTACCAAACATGTCGAGGAGAATAAGGATACAGTTTGAGATGGCTCTTCCTGAGAGACAACATGAACGTAGACTTGATGTAAGTGCTTAATGTCGCGCTGGCCGGGACAAGTGCAATACTTGAAAAGTCTTGGACAGGATTGAAAATGTCCCCGCCGGTGCGCCATCACCTGAGATTTCTGACGTCATCTGGGGAATCATCTCACCGTCTTCTCTGCATTTGCTGAAGCGTATACAAATGTACATGTACACAGTAGTTTATGGCTCCAAATTCAAACAATGTACATGTAGTCTACAAAATATGAGGTAATGATCGATCTTTTTGATGCTATAAACTGAACATCTTTTACCAGCTTCTATAAGCTAAAAAGCTAAAATTTGTTTAAGTACCAGCCCAGTACACAGTAGGCCTACGAGTGTTGAGCATTAAACAGGCATGTAACTGGGAAGTCACAACAAAAAAGAGGAAATTCAAATCTTTCCAAGACTTTGTACAGTGTTTTTCTATTTTCAATGACACACATGGGAAGTGAAAAAAGAGGAAATCAGCTGATCTGAGGAAAAGTTGCATGCCTGATTAAAGATGATATCCGTGCTCTTAACATTTTTTGAACAACTTTTCATTTGTATGCTTTGTTTTAACGAACAAAATACTTTATTCAAATTTTAGGCGTCTGTAATCCTCTTTTACGCACAAAAATAATGAACCCACCCTGCGAGCGCCGAATTATTGTATGACACCCAGTACATTTAATTCAATTTTTGTGAAGAATTATTCAATAACTTATCGTCGATGGATTTGTTTCGTTCGACGTCTCATTAAAAAGTGAATACATGTAACTTTTACATTCTATGAAAATAGCAATTGACACAACAAATCCATTTTTCCACGTGAAACTCAAAAATAGCACAGGGAATCATCTTTAGTTAAAGGTGAACCGGCAGACTTTTTCCTTCTTCAAGTGTCTAACAATTCGTGAATAGTGCTATCCCTAATCGGCCTTGGAGTCCTCGACCCTGACAGACCAAGCACTGGTTTATTCCGTGCATGGTCGGCTTCAGAGCCGAAAGGCAAATAACATTATTGACTTTAACGACTGGTAACGATAGCTATGCTAAACAACCCCATTGATTCCATCAAAGACATTTATCGATTACTTTCAATAGCGAATGAAATATTGGTACAGTAAGTAAACCATTTATGTAAACTTTGTACACTTAACACAAACATTCGACCCTGACATTATAACGCGCTCTGCACACTGCACAGTGTTTTCATCTCTAGGCAAATACTGCTTAAGAATGGCCATCCTGATCGGTACGAAAGATATGAACATTCAATAAGCCACAAAAAGACGAGATCGTAAGGCCTACTTCTACAGAAATCTCTACAAGACTAGTGTGGCGTTCAGCTGATATAAAACAGCTAGATTAAAGAAAACTTTGTTAGAGCATGGTCGGAGCTTCATAAGACCGTCAGACTTTAGATTACAAATGTTAACACACAAAATCGGCATAGCGATGTGCTAATGGTTCCTGAAGAGGAAGGTTTCAGCTGGAACGGTTAGCAGCCATCAAGCCTTCCACAACTTGGCGATGTTCAGGTGAAATTCAGCGCGTGACATGTACTACCAACATTTCTGCACGAGTTCAAAATTACCGACAACTTCGTAGACTATTTGCAATTCGTATGACGATCGGGCCGTGTTCTCTAGGCCGGGACGAGTGCAATATTGGACTTGGGGCGTAAATCACAACATTGTACACGTCACGACCTAAACAACACTGCGCCAATGAACGACGGACTGGGAGCCAGCTGCACTCTACAGATCTACAAGGCTATCACTATCAGGACTGCGTGAATCTACAAAGCAAGGAATACCACACCAATGAGTGCCTGGTATTTGAGGCCGTATATAGGGCCGTTGGCGACATTAGTGGTATTCTAGAAAGGGAAACAAAATGAGACAAGTTGATGAAGTGAAATATAGAAGTTTAATAAGATAACTTAAATCCATATCAGATTTATCTTGCATACATCCAAGTCAATTACGGTATTGTTCGTTTCAGACTACAATGTACCTGTCAACTCCACACAAATGCATTAGTAAGGCAAAAAGGTGTAACATTCTCAATTTCGAGTACTCCGCTCGTACTACCTGTAATATCTTTGAGCTTTCGTGCCTTCGTGGTTACAATTTTGTGGAGCCAATGAGCTGGGGTGCTAATACATCCACGAGCGAATGATATAAACGTTTAATGAGAATACTGCTCACTGTTCACTGAAATGTGCAAGCATTGATCACATCCCCACAATGTCTTGCAATGCCTGTATATTTCTTTATCATTTTTTTGAAGATAAGTGGTACCCACTTCCCTTAGATTGGGCGGGCTTAAGCTAACACGTCGAGTACTTACCAATTAAACGGAACTTCTCCTGGCGTTATGATCGGCAGTTCCCGAAGACGGAGTCTCCCGACACCGTTTGACTTGAGACCGTCGAGACTAGAGCACGTGGCAGGCAGGCCGAGACAAGTGCAATACGACATTCTTCTTTGTTAACATATGACACTAATTTCGGCCTGTCTGACACGCCCTTAATGTAGTGGAAGATGGTCTGTGATGTTTAGCTGTCTGAAATCAAGGGCAGTTCTGGAGGAAATCACTGCAGTTTCCTTGCTCTGTGCTTCTAAAATATGTTTTTCAGTTCAGGGAGATAGATATGGACAATGTTTTGATGTTGACCACACAGATGCTATTCGAGAGTTTTACTCATAGAAGATATGCCTTATCAAATTCTTGTTTAGCCCTCAAACGGTTTTGTTTTTCATCGGAGGTGCCATTTAAATCTTACTACAATGTACCCTTTTTTGTATTGTTCACTGCGTAGAATTGGATTTGGACTTGTAAATCAAAACCTGCTAACCCTATAAGTATAACCCTCCTCAATCCTCCAAAATCCTCATTGCAGTTTTGGAGGATTTTTGAGGATTGAGGATGAATGGCAAAAAGTGCCAGTTGATTTTGGAGGATCAATGGGTCGAGGTCGTAGGCTGTACCCAGCATTCCTATGCTCGATCGATATCATCCGCACTGCTTCTTAATGTCATCCGTACTGACTCAACCCATAGCAGTGAATGGAGGATGGAGGATGAATCCAATTTTTACATGGTGACAATTGGAGGATTTTGCAGGATTGAGGATGGTTCCTAGCCAAAAGGGCCTAATGGGTTGGGGTTAAGGGACTTTTAAGTGGTTAATCCACCTGTTTAGAATGTTATTTAAAAACACCAGACATCCTACGCTCATCCTGCATCTATACTTTCCCTGAGAATGTTTGGGTAAGATTCGAACCGATCTTTTGACTAACAAGTTTCAGATGCATGGTATCTTCGGTGCATGGAGTTAAAGTTAGGAGCAGTTCTATTTTACATGCAATCCAACGTACATTTGCCTCCAAGGTAGTTGAGCTGACCAGCAGGCCGGGACGAGTGCAATATTACCCTCAAGATGACAACATGGCGCTCGTCAAGACCTACCAGGCAACACAGTAGAAGGCAAAGTACTAATGAAGGCAAACATCTACATGCTCAGCGGAAGAAAAATACTTATCATTTCAGCTCACCAAGAACACCATTCATGCCAAATTGTTCCCTCTCTGGAATGTCATTCAAGGCCGTTTCCTGTTAAATAATCAGAAAGAATTATAAAAGATTAATCAGAAACTTCGACTGCCACTTTTGTGCAGGTTGAAATTATCGATTTCGTTTACTAGAGAAACCATGGACAAGTATTGCATAAAACGCTCATCAAAACACTCGGTAGCCTGCTGAGTTCCCGACGACCATTAACGCCGAGTAGTTTCGATTTGGCCCCGGGCTGTGACCTTACGTGCCTGGGTCATTTTCCTTTGGAAGCGTTACCTCAAGAGGGAGTGGCAAAAGATAACTAAAATGTAGGTTGTGAGGTCAGGTAACGTATTATTTTCGTCCAGCACGTCTAGTCAGGCTAATTGGTTTCCTATGGTAAAATGGATCCCAGATTCCTTGCTCAAAGATTTTATGGTTATGTCACAAAGATACGTCAGTGTTTAGTTGGAATCGATTGTGTGAGATTGTACAAGATGCCTTATAACAGCAGTGATTTACATGTACATACAATGTACTTGAAAATAATGAAAAACAAATCCTTCAAAATTTCGCCAACGCCGCAATCATGTTTAAATATGTGTCATAATCAAACTATGCACCCGAGCCTAAATCCATGAAAATCCGAAACCAACGACATGTTTATATTTTCTGTTTTCTTCTCTAGAGCTCATGTGAAGTACTTTTCACGGGATGTAGTTTCTCAGTTCGGTGTTAGGTGTTGAATATTTGTTCTTTAGAGCCTCTAAGAAGCTGTTAACCAAGTGTACTTCTCTTTTCTTGGACTCGCATCTTAATAAATTAGGCCTAACCAAACAAAGGAATATGCCCTTTCGTTAAGTTCTGGTCCTCCACCAAACCACTTGTCAATTGTATTAAATGCTCTGCTCATGTTCTGAAAGTGCGGTCTGCAGGAAGCTTACACAGGAGTCCCGCCATTCTCCCCAGCGTGTTGCCAGCCGACTGGCCTTTTCTGTTTATCTTTCCCGGCAAAAGTTGACCTCGCCACATACACCGTGGGATTTTCCATTTACCGCCAGCTACGCCAAGTCATTGGCAAGAAAAGCGGTTGTAGATACATGTGGATAATGGTACCGACCCCTTAACAGTGTCAAGGTCTAAAATTTGTTAATGCTTTTCTGCCATTTGTTTTGGTAGCTGGTCTAACTTCAGTTGGAAGAGGCAAAATATTTCACAGAAAGTCACAAACTAGTTAAAAACTACGAAATCTTGCACAAAACTCATGAAAACCCTACAAAGAGAGTGACCCGACTATGTTATGTAAACATTTACTTTTAGTAAACGTTCCTGGTATCAGTGTATATGTACGTAAGAGCGGAAACATTGTGATGTATAAACGATTACAATTCATAACAAACCTCCACTTCAGTGCACAAGCACAAACACTGACAAGGTAAAACAAAATATTGACTATTGTTTGTGAAAGCCGACCTTGGTTCCAATTTATAAAAGCCAGCCAGACGGACCATGTTAGACCGTGGAGCTAGACTTTTGACGGTGCTGATTCTATTCTGGGTTCGCTGAGCAATTGGGAGTCGTTCCGTCCTTGTATTTCACCAACGAGGCAACTGACCCTTCCCATGGTCAATGCACTCAACTGTTCTTTTCAGACCACACCAACAGACACAAAATTCCTTCCTTTTTTGAGTTACCCAAGGGGAAAAGCCACTACCGCTAATCGTCTCTGCACTACACAATGTAGAGATGAGGGAATTGCGGTATTTCATAGCAGTGTATATGGTTCGATGTTTTATAATGTTTGCTTTTCATCAGTCGAATTTCTAAATCGGAATGAAAAAACACCCAAACTGTGAAGCAACTCCATGTCTAAAGCTATGCGCCACACGTACAGACAGAATTTGTGGTAACACCATCGTAACACCAAGGACCTGAAATGGCGCGCTTAATGCATTCCTGCCCGGCATTCTCCGCTGTTTGGTACGGGTCGCTCAGGTAACCGCTAACCGAGGCGCAATAAATAACGGGGAGAAACTCAACCAGCCACTCGTCATCTTTGGCGGGAGGTCAAAGGTCATGGCGTACTGCGCTATTTGGTATGGCACTTAGCAGGTGGAGACTAACCCTACTGAACTCTAAGGTGCACACGAGTCAATGCATAACGTACAGTGTACAACTGGAAAGTGGACATGACTGCTGGCGTGCAGCATACTCGCCAACTTAACAGGTTGTTGAAATATAAATACATGTCATTGAATATGTTTGGCCCCAATGAATGAATTCGATACAAACATCCCTTTTCTTCTATGGTTTAGTTTCAGCTCTCGTTTATGGCATCAGAATTTTCCAACTCTTTTTCCTCTACAAATCAACGTATAAAACGAACAAAATGCAATTCTTACAAGCTTTGACAGAGCCTTGAGTTGTTCCCGTTCGTGGATTTTTCAAACAAGACAACAAAGATAAATTCGTGCAGAAGCGCCGAATCACCATATGTCCTTTCTCTATGGTTGCACTAGACACAAAATTAACTTTTATTTTCTATTCAGTGGGGGCCTAAATACTGTTACGTAAGACCGTCAGCAGTGATTGTCGTACCATACTGCAGGCAAGTGTGCAATACAATGTAGTATAGTACGTGTAGGGGAATCGGGAAAGAAGCAATCTACTCGTGGGAATCACTAAAAGAATGTGTGAGGACAGGATTTGTTATCAGGCAACGACTAAAAAAAGGCATTTCTGATATGTCTGGTCACTTGGCGATTTGTTATCAGGCAACGACTAAAAAAAGCATTTCTGATATGTCTGGTAACTTGGCACGGTTCTTCATTTTTACTTTCGATAAGTGCACGTACTGAAGATACATCTTTTCATTAAAATTAGTAGTGTTGCTCTTTTGAGTCATTTAGTTTGGAAGGCCAGGAGGAAAGAACTTCAAGTGGAAAACTTAACAAGTATTTTACCATTTTGCTCGAATGTAACACATAGCCAAAGTTGTAGAACACAGGCATGCAACTGGGAAGTCACAAAAAAGTGGAAATTTGAATCTTTCCAAGACTTTGTACAGTGTTTTTTATTTTTAATGACACACACATGGGAAGTAAAAAAAAAAAAGAAGTCAGCTGATCCGAGGAAATGTTGCATGCCTGAAAACATTATACATTTTGGAGAGAAAAGGGAGAATATATAAGGAAACATTTTCATCAAATTACTGAATTAACTTTTAAAAATTACATCAACTATCAAGCTACCACTCAAAGAAAGAAGCACGGCTTAAAATTTGGCAGTCCTGATTGGCTTTAGGACATTTGCTTTGAGAATGTGTAATGATCCCTCACATACAAGTAAACTCCGTTTCGAATCCTAGTTCCTCAGTGCGTCTTCAAAACATTCAAACATTTTGCAACGGAGATCCCGAAATCAGTTTCGATCTTTTTTACATGTGGCTTGCAAAATGCAATGTTATCCGTTAAAATTATGTGTTTACTAAGAGTAACTTTGAAGAGTAAACTCAACTTTTTAACAACATTAGTTGTCATTAATTTATTGTTTAATTTTTCAAGAACAAAGGATCATTTTTTCAAACACAAACACAATTTGGGACAAGAAACATTTTTAGATTTTGGCAATTTATGAGTTTGTGACTTTCACACAAAATTATGATTCCGTGTATATTGACCAACATGTAAAACCACATGAACGAAGTAGCCAATATTTCTTCATGGATAACATTTTAACATACCACTTGTGTAACCCGGACCCTTGTGTAGTCAACCTCTATTCCATCCAATACACGCGCATGCTATATGAATGCCATTTTCGTTGAAGCAATCACAATTTGGGCTTATATTCGAAATGCCTGTGGCCGACTTCATTCATCACCACACAATGGCCCACAATAAAGAGGCCCTGGCTAACTTTTGTTCGACCCGGACACCAAGCAGCCAGTGGGAGGCTACTTAGCGCACGGCAATTGAACGGCGCATAAAGCATGGCTTCACTGTAAATTCAGGAATACCGCCAAAACAGTTAACGTGGAGGCGCCAGTGATAAGGAATACCAGAAATGCCCGCAGTACACACCACCACGCGGGCGCATGTGAGTGTCGGATCAATAAAAAGTCTAAAGGTTATTGCTTTAACGCTCCAGTGTGCACTTTTTCCAGAGGGTGGTGGCTTATTATCACACAGATAAGCCGGCCTACAAATTGACAAAATGTAAATGCGAGTATAAATGTACCGTGGCTGTGTTTGTAAATCACCTGTGTGAGAAAATGACATGAACTGAACAGACTGTTGATTGATGTTTGATGTGGGACATTCCGATTGACCTCGAACACTTTGCAGGAACAAACATGACAAAGTACGGTCAATTTCTTAATCAGAAATATACTGTGCATGCCTTATATTGCGTGAGTAACAGTATGGTAAAAGCAACACAAAAATCTAGATTAAATTAAAACATTATATTGGACTTCAGTAATCATAACCATGTAGCAAAGTGTTCTTACCCACCATGCCAATACCAGCTTGGTTCAGCACCTGATATGACTCCGAACGCGCACATGACATGTCACAAACTGCAAATCAATCCATCCATATCGTACCATGTGGGAAAAGTCGACCACAAAGCTGAGCGAGTTCCCCTAAAATTAAAGTTCGTCACACGCACGGAATTCACATCGCTTGTTGTACGAGTGAGCCAAGGGCACGGCCCATGGAAGATGCACGCCCGTCCACGCGTTGACCTGTTGCAGAATGGAATGAATGGGATTAGGCAAATACAAGCTTTTCAAACATCCTTTGCAGGTCAGACCATTTCGATTCTAGGGGGTGGCAACTACAAACCCAGAGCGATACCACCTGCATAAAACTGCACGCAAAATGCAAAACTTCTTGCTGTATAACTTCACTGAATGGACATACCATTAGTATCTGAGAAACAGTTTTCACTAACTGTACAATATTTCCCCGTATACTTGTTCCTTATTCACGGCACGGAATTCGTCCCTCAAAGATGAAGCCCACCACCCCTGAAATGACCATTGTGAAAGAATGAACAGGTTCATTGGCCGGTCGCATAGTTTAACGTGCCTAACGAAGCGACAACAAAAGACCCTACTATTTTGTTCATTCCCATTGTGTGGTGCTACCGCGCAGATATAACACCTGAAGATATGCTGGGTCTTTGAAAATAAATAAAGGGGATCGAGAATGCTATACGATTGGAGCCTTCCAGCGGACGGCTGTTTTATGAAATCGAATTAGAGACATGAAATGGCTTTGGAGAGGAAATGGGATCCAGGATTTTTTTCTGCAGACTGTTGTTTTCGGAAGTAAATTGTATTCCCAACCATGCCCTCTGTAGCTATATGCACAGAAGTCTTCAAATATGAAACAGTCAAATGTATCCAAACGATTTCACTCTTGAACAATGTACCTCCCACATCGTCAACCAAAACTTCATTTATGAACCGACCATCACCGCATAATACAAGGCTAGCATAATACATGTATATGCTGCACGGAGGTCCTATTAAAATCAGGCACACGCATTTACACGGCTCAATGGGTCCGCACACAGCTATCTTTGAATGCAAACAGAGATGGGTTAAAAAAAAAACCTGGATCCTCGCACACACGAAATGCTGTAACATGATGATATAAACACATCAGTAAAATGACCTCCACCACCATGCGTCACCGTGCATTGATAACAACAGCACACTGTTTATTTAAATAAGAATACACTATTGGTAAATGTACTCCAGGAGTCCAGGGTATCCCGAAATAAGATAGGAGCGTACTATTTCTTTGTCCACTGTTTGGTGCCAGCAGCCTGTACACAAATTTAATGTGTGAAGAATGCACTGATACATTCAAACAAAATATCAAAATCACAAAGGACGTTGAGAGAAGTATTTCCGTGCGTGGTAGTTAGTATTCCATCAGCCATTTTGATGGTTGATTAGTAAGGATAAACATCGCTATATGATGGGGCTGGGAAACAGGGGAAGGAGGTTACCGTTATCGAGAGATTGATGGAAATTAAACACAAAACAAGCTACATAACGATTCTTTAAGTTCAAACAAAGGATCGTCGACTTTAGCGGTAGCCCGCTAGCCAAATGCTAGTCAAAACAGCGACAGGATAGTCAAAGACTCAACCATAGAGCAAGGACCCATTCCTTAACTTGAGTAGCCCGCCTAGCGAGTCAAAATTGTTGGGCTACGGCAAAGATAAAAGGACAGAAAGAAATACATCATTAAAATAATTCAGAGAGAAAACCTGTATCAATTTGTGTCTAATTTTATTAACTGTTTAGGGTGAAATTATTAGATCTGTTAAGTAAAAATAGAGACACTCTTTTAAAAGAAAAATATGCGGACAAGTGTTTCAGTAGCCCGGCTGGCTAGAGGGCAAAAAAGTTAAAACTTTTAAAGGTAAAACCGTGGATATAAACATCAATCCTGGCTGCAATTTCAGCTCTTATAAACTAAAAAAAAAAACATGATCAAATATTGCAAAAAATGGCGGCTCAGAAATTGCTCGCATTTTAATGGACAGGGCCTCAATTTTGCAACGACTGAATGAGCTATAAGGCAAATCAACTGATTTCATAGGACACATTTTTGATGCTATATACTGTTCCTACTAACTTCTCTTTTTGTAAAAAAAAAAAAAGCGGATAAGATTAGAAAAAAACTTACAAAACTAACCTAGCATTAAAATGCCTAAATAACACCGAGTACCTGTTACTAAAGTTAAAAGAGCCGCGGCCACACAGATTCCATAGAGTTGCCATAACATTCTATACTCTTTTTTGAAAAAAAAAAATCCTGGGAAAACTTAATTATTTTGGCAAGTTATGTACACTTCCCACAATTGCCGGTGACTCGGATAGCTCCATGATTAAACAGATAACAAAATTGACATATTCGCAGGCGAACATGACGTGTGTTTCCGTGAATTGAAAATACACGTGGGACAGCGAATAATTAGTATCCGATACCATGAATATGGTTTTGGCAGAATATGCTTGATATTACTGTTATGACATGTTATTTTTTCACGTGCTAGTTCAAATATACGCCTACTTCCTGGGGATTTCCCCCAGCCAACTTCTGTTGTTGTGGTAATAGGTCCGCACTTACGAATATTTTAGTTGCCACTCAAAATCCGGAATGGCAACTTGGCAACGAGTGATGACATTTTGTCTAGTTTTATCAACCAAAGAAATAGCGCTGCCATTCTCAGCCTCAAAATCTTCGGAGGCTCCAAACGAGGTGGCTAAAAAAACAGTACAAGTGCATTGTTTGCTCAAATCGCAGGATATAGGCCTGATCTTAAAACTCACTAATGTTACAAGTTTATCCCTACATAAAAAAAGATTGAAAATGTGTATAGACAGTCAAGGTTGCTTATCCGTTGACTGTCTCGTTGACTGATTCGCATCGGTGTTAGGATTCTGCACAATCAGACCGAGATGAGTGCAATGTCGACTCTTCAAGACAATTGCAAAACATCTCCATCTGACTGCTGACCAGATCTCACTCAGGATGAACGACCTTGTATCTGTCTTCCAAGTCTGAGCTTCATGGTTTTTGTCTGTTTTCCTTCCTCTTCCTCGTCTGATCTCCTTGCGTTTGTATTGTAATTCCTGAATCGGAATTTCTTCTCTTTTTTCCCTTGACGTTAATTAAGCACACCATTTTTGTGTCACTTTAACCTCCGTACAGTCACGGTATCTACTACCATGCTACTACCAGATAATCGTGTCGGATTCAGAGCTCTTGGCCCAATGGTATATGAATGCAGTACGTCAGCCTATGCGAAGCCATTTGGCACGTTTTATACAGTATGATGAGTGCCAAATCTGATGTGGCTTTTTCTTAACACAAAATGTAGCACACTCAACCAACTGATTCAGTAATTTTTCTTTCACCTTGAAACAGCTTAATTTACTGTAACATCAAATCTGCAAAATCTATATTTATTATGATACCGTAAAATGGGCTCACTGTTACTGAAAAACCAAGCTGCCTGGTACAATAAAGACGTACCGCCAATGTTAGATTGAATAGCAATGCTAAAGAGTTGGTACATGGTTCCAGGGGTCATAAGTTCGATTCCCGCTTCAGGCAGTTTTTATTTTTCACACCGGAAACAGAACTTTGAAAAAAACACGTTCCAGTGACTGATCTTGAACTTGAAAGAAAAAGATTTCGCGAAAAGTATATTCTCATAAGAAGTGTCAACACCTTCTCTGTTGTTTGCACTTTCCATCGTTGTTCGATTTGTCGGCTTTAACCTTCACGTTTATATGCCGCCAAAATGTAATACCACTGGGCTTCTGTGCAACCGCTCGCGAGCTTGAGAGCATGCGCATTACGTTTTAGCCGAGTGTTCTCTTTACGACCTTTGACCTCTATGGCGACACGACTCGGCATCCTTGACCTTATCAATGCGCGGGCAGATAGTCCTTGCGGTGTCCATGCTTTCTGCAGGTTCAGTTCAAACCCGTTCGTTAAAAATATCTACTATTGCACATGGACGTACATCATATTATCAGCCTATTCAGTAAAAATCACTGATATTTTGTTTGCCTCTTCTTCTTTGAGCTTAGTGTTGCGGTTCAAGGCTTTATGCCAACCTTTAACACAGTTCATACACCATTCTCGAATGTTCATATTAAATTGTCCCTTGTTTTCTACACGTTTTTATAACTGGTACGAAAAGTAGCAGTTGTGAATACATTCCATGCATGTCACGTTAACACAACATTAGGAAAAAAAATCATTTTCATATTTTGCTCCAGCCTAAAACACAAGAGTTACTTGAAAATAACTTACCTGGATAAACGAGTTTAGGAAATAGACTTATCTAATTAACAACCTGTGTAAATAAACAAGACGGCAAGTCGTGGTATAACGGTGCTCAGGCATAAGACTAATCAGACCTCCCAGTTTTCAAAGGCACAATTAACTCGGTACTTGCCCGTCAATCCGAATAACTGAGAGTGTTGTTGCGAGTCGATGCATGCGACCATGGAGCTACGAAGCCATTGAACTACATGCATGCAACAAACCCTGCATACAACAGTGGGCGTGGCTTTGAATGAATACACGAACTCGGGTCAAAAAGGCAACCGGCAGAGAGCAGTCGTATATGTCACGCGGAGAGAAAGTTTCTGGCAAAACGTAATTTATAGTCGGTATTACCCATGCATAAGTTCAACTATACCATTTCAGTTGCTACAGTGCGCACTTACTGCTTACGTTACATCTGTGGAGAGTTATGGCACATCAAGTTCACACTACTACACTACATGTACTACAACTACACAAGTACACAAACAAATAGCAAACGTTTTGGCGGGAACTATTAATGAAAGTACAATTTTTCTGTATTAAAAAAAATACTTGATGGTTCGAAGGTCACTTCCTTGATACCAGTTCCGTACTTTTACCTTTGTAAACCAATAATAACAGAAGAAATTCTAGATTCGCTTTTCATGAAAAAAAATCCAGGTACCGTAGGTTTTGCAGTTGGCACTGACCATCGGTGAAAAATTCCGCCTTTTCCCAAACCAAATTTTCATCTGTCAATATGGATATTATTTTAAAAGCACAGAATACAAAACAAGTGTTTGCACTGTACCAAGAGCGGACTTTGACTCATTGTACAAAGGCACTGGTCCAGATAAAATAAATTCCTTATCTTTCGAAGAGATAATGTAGATATGCCATT